ACAACCACCACGGGGCGGCATCTGTTCCAAACTCGATCTATTCACCGACGCCCTGAGCCAAGCAGCGCGTGCGTGAGCCGCACACGTGGGTGGCTTGTGTGGAGCGGGCGCCGCAACGGAGGGACTGCGGGATGCGAAGCCCCTGCCTGAGTAAAACTCTTGTTCGCAGCATGCACCATGCGCAAACTTCACGTGTCCCGAAATCTACCAACTTGACTTCTGGCTGACATCAGGGTGACGACCCCCGGAGCAGGGTAAGGGTAATGGTGAGGGCAAAGTGAGGGGGGCACAGCACACTGCTGCACTGCACACTCCTGCTCTACACTCTGTTCCCTTACGCGTTCGCGGTTTGAGCTGTATTTACACCAAAACGTCCAGCAAACCCGAGACATTTCACAGTCGCACTGTCAACATGACGAGACCAGGACTTCAAATTCTTTCGATGTGGGCAGTTGGATGTGCAAAGTGGGTCGAGCATGCCGGAGTCCCACGGCTGTGCAACATGGTATACTCCGTTGGGAAGCTCAAGCTGATGCGGCCGTGGAGGCAAGTGGTACGTGCAGTGCCTGAATTGCTTGCTATCAAGCAGCTGGATCTTTGAGCGCACGGAGCCTGAGCGTTTCGCATGCGCGTGTCTCTGCTGCTTGCACCATGGGCTTTGCGGCCAGCACCGTAATTTTAGCATGCACTTCTTAGGGCTTGGCTCGCATCGAAGGATCGCGGCACCACCACTGGCGTGGGCCTCTCCACCAAACGCTCCCCAACCTGGCGACATTCGGCCAAGGCCTGGTATGGCCTGGTCCAATGCTCCGGAGGTTTGCTCGCCAAGTCGCCGCACGGCGGGCACTGCGGTCAGCACGAGCATGTCGTGGCCGGCTCCCGCGAGCACCGGCGAGGCGGCTGCCGCCTTCTGACTCTCGGACTCTCGGAATGTCAATTGTATTCTATTATATATGATTGTCAGAACATGTCAGACCATATCACATTCTGCATGTCAAACGTGCCCGAGCCTGCGCAGCGAGCGGCGTGCAGAGTTGGCCGCTGCGTGCACGAGCCCGACACGGTTGTAGGCACCTCTAGGGCCTGCTGTGCGTGTGACTGTGAAGGACTGAAGACCCACCCCAGCCGCTAACGAAAGAACCCTACCAACGTGACAACCGGCACGTCTGACAGAACGTGATTATTGCCTCAAGCTTAGCCTCTTGAGTTGTCTCAGACCTTGGGTGCGGGGAGTACTGTGACGAGTTACCGTTTTGGGAGTAACGGAAGCCGATCTCGCACACTCATGACAGAAACGGGCGGCCGCAGCAACAGCAACCAGACGACCAGCGTAGCAGGAACCACCACCGAAAACTGGGCAGGAAGCGTTTATGCTGGCAAAGTAGGGCGCCGAAAAGCGGTCCCCGAAGGGCAGGCAAAGGAGGACGCCCAAAGATGCCTTATTCATCCCTTTAAACACCATAAAGGGATGCAAAAGCATATAGCGCGCTAACGCCTGTGTAGACCCTAAGCCGCAAACTACGAAACCCTGCACCGTGAACCCTACGGTAAGCCCAAAACCGCTGTTCCTGTTTCAAGGAGCTGTCCCCACACTTCCCCACGCTGTTACAGGAACCAGCTGGCTTGCGTTGCGGTGTTGGGGATTGTTGGGGCAGGTTTCTGTTGCACGGCTCTGTTACGGTCGGCCGGTTCACGTTACGGCAAATACTCCTCAGACCTTCGTGTGCTGCGTCCAACCTCGAGACCAAGCATCCTGATTCCGGCGATGCATCCTACCCTGAAAGCCAACGGGATGACTGAATGGGCTATGTGTGCGACCATGTCGAGCCTTTGGACCGCATAAAGATAGGAATGCTGTTTGTATTTTCTCCAGGAAGGATGCAAGGATTCGATAAAACGATGCCTGGCTCTCCTCTGATACCTTAAGGCCGTAGGCACAAGCTTCAAGTGCGTAGAATCGCAGAAGCTGAGGCAGAATGTTTTCTCGGTTCATGTCAACATGACTGGCGGTTACGAATGGAGGCAGTCTCTAAATTAGGGTCCCTGTTTAGGTCCCCCGAATACTACTTAGTACAGCGCTTATAAATAAGGACCCTAAAAGGGGCCCGAATCAGGAGAGCGTTGTGGGATGTTTACTTGGCAGCACCTCCTGGTGGAACCACTGACATGCGCCTGCTGCATGGCAACCAGGCCTCCATGCATGACCGTGGCTGTTCCAGCTTGTGCTCGGTCACATCAATGAGGTTAGTCACCGTTGGGATCTCCTGGTCACAACTGCAGACTGGGTGGTGCACCTGAGATTTCAACACCCTGATCATGTTTTATTTTCTTTGTGCGTTTCTCTCTAGCTTATTACAAGGTTGGCCGAAACATGGATTGTGAGCAAACTGCGAATTTAATTACAAGCGTGGATGTGCGGCAGACATGTCCCGCATGGCCTTCGCAATCTCGGTCACACGCGGCTGCTCGAAGAAGGTGGTCGAGCCACAAGCTAGCTTCACCACATGAGCCTCGCGCGAACACACAGTTGCATGCACTCGCCAGCGCAACAGCACGTACACAGACAACTCCGACGATGCAATTTACGGATTGAAAAGACGGGGACACACCAACAAATCATGGTCCCACCTTGGCTTGTCGGGGTTTGGGGCGTAGGCCGACAGCAAGTCCCAACAGAGCCAGCGAGGCGCCCGCCTTTGGATGTTTTGGCACCGCACTACTCTGAGGTCTATACAAATCTCCTCGACTTTGATGTCGAAAAGTCGGTAGCAGTCGCAGTTAGTTAGTTAGCTAGTTAGTGACTTAGTTAGTTAGTTAGTTAGTTAGTTAGAGTGGTAGTGGTAGTAGTTGTTGTTGTAGTCGTTGTTATCGTAGTCGTAGTAGTAGCAGTAGTAGTACTTGTAGTAGTAGAAGTAGTAGTAGTAGTAGTAGTAGTAGTAGTAGCAGCATGCTGTCTTGGACTGGGGACCGCTCTGTCTTGCGAGCATATCATATTCGCAATCCGGAGTCGTTGGAACTTGGAACAGCTGATTCGGAATGATTGATTTGGGGAAGAAGCGTACATACAGCCATAAATATACCGATGGGGTAAAGCTGACCAAGGACGCCACGATCGGAAACATGCTGTGCACATTGTATTCACAGCGAGTGGACTGATCTGTATACCTTGAAACACAGTGCTCCAGGTACATGCCATTTCTCTTCCGGGAGCCCCAAATGCGTTTTCTGCTGCTCCTCTCTGATCGGTGAGGGACGCTGTACAACGCCCGAATGCTGATTTGAGCTGATTTGCGCAGTCACACTTCCAAGTGCTGTCACACTCGATCTAGCTTATCTCCTCGCTGCTCGTTGGGGCTACCGGCCCGGGGGAGGCCTTTCCGCTTCTTACATGTTTTTGACTGTTATATAATATGCATCTGATCCGAATTGCATCCTCTCTAGGATTTTGCTCTCACAGATCGCGGTGTCTTAAACGAGTCCATCTATATAACCACGCAGGCACGTTTACGAGCGGTTGGGCCACGGAAGGAAGTAGTAGTACTGTAGTAATCGTCGTATAGGATCAGCAGCAGCAGCCGCAGCAGTAGTGGTAGCAGTAATCAACAGGAACAAACAAGCGTCGTGTAACACTAGAGGCTATCGGAGCTTTGGTGGCAACACAAGTAGCATCAGCAATAGTAGCAACAGAAGCGAGGTCGGAGTATTGGATGTCTTCTTCAAAGCCGGGTGATACCAATAGAAAATCCATTACCTTTACTACTCCCAACAGTCGTCATCATCTTGATTGGATGGGAACTATGCAGGTACCGTTTCTGCGAACTGGCACTCGCAGGACTAGCAGTGATGGCCTTCCACATCGACGACGAGTCTTGCGCCCGAGATCGCGCAACCACTGGCGCCTCCAACATGGGTCTGACATCTGCTTTTCGTCGTAACCCTGGTCGGCTTGCCTGTATGCCGGCAACACACATGAAGGTGCATGCGCATTCTGATTCATAGTCTCGTCTGGATATGTAGAAAACCCTTCAAGTTACTGTGCAGCAGGCACTTGAGGCCAGTAAACAGCGTGCCTGGATGCTCAGCATGCCAGGGCTGTGAAGAGCATTGGAAGTCACTGGACCAGATGAGACAAAGGCCTCACCTTTGCAGCGAGGAGAAGTCAAAAAGGAGCTCACCAGAAGCTGCAGGCATCGAATGCCCATCCGAGCCGATCGTGCCGACACAGTTCCAGCACGACAAAAGTGCTGCCTATTCAGTGTAGTCGTTCTGATTCTCAATGTCCATGCTAACATCAACGTTCCTGCTATGCAGCCTGGTGAGTGCTTGATATCATCCCTTGTCTTTGCACGGCATCGTGCCTATGGCAGCAGCGAAGGAAACAGCGGCCTGGTTGGCGGCGGAACTTCACCAAACTGGATTGCTTCCTCTCCACAAAAACATCTGCAGCCGAGAGCACAATAACGATTGCTGCCCGAAATGGCATCTGACATGCTCGACGCGCCATCGCCTCCTGCAAGGGCAGAGAAGACACCGCCCAAGCTTCAACCACGCAGCTGCAGAGCTTCCGCAGGGCTCTGAATACTCTTGCGTGCTTGTGGAACCCTCACCACGCCTCTCAAGGCCAAATGCGGAAGCTCAAACACTGTGAACATTCTCTTTGACTATCAGAACAACCTCAGGCGGGGATCTAATTCGACTCCAGGAACGTGTAAGACTGTTTGTACTGGAGACTACTTTGAGCATGTAACCTTCTTATCACCCTCCCTCGCTCAGGGTCCTCGTCAGGCGCGCGAGTCAGGAACACAACATCCACAAGAAGCTTGGGCCACGAAGCCTCCTGGTGTAAGAAATCTGGTTGCCCTGTCAAGATGGGTGCGAGATCACCAGCCCGACGGAAATATCAGCTTCTGTGTTGAAAGTGCCAGAACGGTGTCCCTAAGCTGGGTTTTCGGTTTTCCCACCGAGAAGTGAAGCGGCATTGCAATTGCTGAGACCCATGCGTGTCCCGAAGCCAGCAAAGGGCTCCTGTTTGTGCTTCCATTCTTGACTGTATCACTTGCTTAACTGCAAATGTGCCTGCGCGTCTCCATGCAGGGCGTACCGACAAGTCGAAGGCACCAAGATGGCGCAGCATGGAGCGGCTGGAGCCTGAGAGGCCGACGAGGTGACCAAACCTATTGCACATGTCGACGCAGCTCGTGTTCCCGTGGCGGCTGGCCTAAGACCTTGTGCTTCATGCGCCACGGCGCGGCACTTGTGAGCACTTGGGTCAGGGCTTGCCACAGTCGGCATCGGTGCATCAGCGCCTACGATGACAGTGCATCTGTTCCGCAAGGGTTTGAAACGCAACGCGGACATGCGAACGCGTATCGCAATCCCACAGCAAGCCCTACACTCGCTGTCCGCCATCCCTTGGACTCTTCCAGTGAGCCGGAGCATGTCTTTGACCGCCGTACCACGCACGGACAATAATTCAATGGGAGAATTTGCGCGTGATAAACGAATGTGCATGTGTTAGTTATTTTCCTCCTTCGCCACCCACCCGCCAATCTGAAAGGCACTACAGTACGAGGTTCGACCTGCAAAGGAATGCACCAGGAACCGCATAGGTGCACACCACAACCCCGACCTACCCTGTTCTGGCCCTCATCGATCCAAAAACATGTGAGCAGATGCTGTTCGCTCTGTGTCTCTCTAACAAAGTCAAAAACAGCGGGGCCATGGTCAGCAAACAACTCGGACACAAGTCACAAACACCGCAAACGCAGTCAGAAACGCTCAAGGCCACTGCCGCAGGCACCCCCGCCCGAAATTGCAAACATGAAGAGGTTGCCCCTTGCCCCTGGAAATGCAGTACAAAGAAATTGAAACAATGGTGCAAGAGTTAAGCGGGGTATTAATTAAGAGCCAACCGTAGCAGATGCTAAAAACCTTGCAGAAGCAGAGAAACTTTTGTAAGACGTGTATAACATAGCAACAACGGAACCTTATATTTTCTGTTTATGACCTTGATGAAAGCAGATGTAAATGACATGTTACGTGACATGTTGAATAAACGGTTTGATGCTAAACTAGTTACTGATTACCAGTATTGTTTATGCATAAACTATAACCATATTCTGCTGGATCTCTATCATTCCATATCTCTAAAACAAACTATAACATCTTTATGATTACATTCATCAATGACTTCAAGCCATATTCTCTACGCGCAAAATCAAATGATCTTTGCTTCTGTTCTTCTGTTAATTGGTAATCTTAATAGTTAAAGTCTCCATCAATCCTTGATATATAAAATAATCAAAAATGGCTTTAACAGCAGTTTTTAATACAGATATTCCATATTAAAAATGCAAATTTTACCATGTCACGCCATGGTTTAATATATATATATATATAACTATATATTTCTAGAACACCTACTTCTTTTAACATTCCACCTGTCACTGATTTAACCTTTGCTATTTCTCTCGAATTTAAAAACTAGAATATAGCAAAAAAAGTCTTTTGTATATTTCTTCGCTAAAACCCATACTTTGATGTTAATTTTCTTTTCAGTTTTTGATGAAATACTAATTACTAATTTATCTTGATTGGTTGTAGATTGTAGAGCAGACCATAAAATTCCAGTTGACATACTATAACCAAACCTTAAATATCCATCTTGTCTTTTTATAATTAAGTTCTTCCATTCTGTTATTTTTTCATTCAAAAAGCAATTAGCAACCATACCGACATATGATTTTCCACCGCATCTATCTTTATCAGTATAAATATTAGTTGCAGGAACAATGTATTTCATTCATCTTGAAAAGGCTTTTTCAGTGGCTAATTTTGTGTTTTCTTTAGATCTGCTGTCTGAACTACGACCAATAGAACCAGTATAGCTAATATCACCAATAACATCTAGGGCCGGGCGCTTGCCGAATGTAGCCTCCCTGTTTTTGACTGCTGGGGGGTCTTCTTGCTGACTTCAGGCCTCCCCGTTTGTGACAGGTTGCTGCTGTCGGTTTCCCGACTCCTTTTGCTGAAAGTGGCGGCGATTTCCTGGATCCGGTTACTCTGCTCACTATCACCGCCACTTCTGGATGCTTGCATCTGCTGCAGTGCAGCGAGTATGACGGCAACACGTGAGCCCACACGTCGTTGGCTGCAACACTACATGGAGGCTACGACAGATCCAGCAAGCAAAGGATAAAACTTTTGTTTGTTTATTTACTTCTCCGTTTATGTATGTGTGGATGCATGTTATCTGCCTGTCTGCATGTCCTTACATGGTACAGTATATATTATACGGCCTTAAAGAATAAACAACAAATGTGTGTATATACGCACATGGGAATAGTTGGAATCTCATCTGTAATGTACATCGTGGTGCAACGGTGGTTGTGAAGCCTACCCTCTGCAAGTTACTACGAGACAAGATCCCTGCTCCTGCAGGTCAGCTTCAAGAATTTCACCATACAGTCTCTAATGAACACAAAGCACCTTCACAGCCCGGTTTGTAAGGGTACGAGTATGTTTCTGCCGACGGCCGGCTCGAAGTTGGGCTTAGCCAGATATGGTTCGATATGATCACGGTTGCAAAGGACTTCCAGAGCTCGTTCTGGAGGTTCCGTCCCACAATTGGCAAGTTAGTACTTAGCCCTGACCCTGCCACCAGAAGCCACGAATCGTCATGTGCTGCAGGGGTGACGACTTTCTGCGTGATTATCCGACTTCAACTTTCTCTCCTCACTCCTACTACTCCTTCGCCCTCTGCGAGGTGCCCCATGCCAGCAGCCTGCGCTGCCCCATGACGACATCGAAGAGCTTGCATTACCTGAGTCGTTACAGCAAGTGTAGGAGAATAGTGAACAGTGTAACACCCGCTATCAATAAAACTCTTAGGCTCGAGGCAGGGGCCCAAGGCAAAGGGAAGGGATCGCTGGCAGGTGTCACTATGCAGAAACGATTGCCTCAACTCGCGGCTACCGCGGCTTTGGTTCAGGCTGGGATCCAAATCGGCCGCGGTATGCATGAGTTCCAGATGTTGCCGTTGGCCATTCTACGGCTCACACAGCCAACTACTTTTACGCGAACATGGGCAAATAAGAGAAAGACAGCGAGAGACACAGAAAGAGTCAGACAAATACACCTTGCACTATGTAAAGGACAGCTCACGCAAAAAGACAAACAAACGAGCATGCACACGTACGGTATGTACGCACACAAACACAAACAGACTGGCTAAGTAACACTTAAGATACTTAAGCATGAAAGGACCCTGTCCTTGCTCACTCCCTGTTTCTGCCTCTGTACATATCGCAGAGTTTGTACGAGTATGCATGTATGTAGGAAAGCAAGTAGGTACGGATGCTTGCGGGTGTGTAGATGTGTGTAGGTGTGTGCGTATGTACGCATGTATGTAGGCAGGAGGTATGTATGTACCGATGTATGGATTTGTGAATATATGGGCAGATTCATGTCTGCATGCATGGAGGGATGCATGGATAGGTGGATGGATCCAGGCATGTGTCTGTGTCTGTGTCTGTACGGATACCTAATCTTATACAGTATACAGTACAGACATACGTTACGATTTACAAGACATGCAAACTGCACATGTGTGTGGTCATGCATTTCAAACTTCCCACATGCCTAAACATGCTTACTGATCTTACTGGAACGAGCTCTGGGAACTTGGTTTCTCGCTCCTCTCTTCTCGTAGCTGTTTCTTGTCTGTGTCTCTCCTACACTCACAGACTAAAACGAAGCACAAGCAGCAGGTTCCTGGCAAACCATGCATTGCATAACGGTCCAGGCTTTTTGCTCCGCCACTATTAAGAACGCCACACCACGATTGGGCTGAAGACGCAGCTGCAGTTCTAGACCAGTAAGAAACCGGTCTCCTAAGCCAATGTTATTCGCCCTTTGGGAGTATCCAAGAGAGCTTCTAAGCGGGGCTCGCTGCCAGGCTCAGAGCTCTGCACGACCACGCCCTTTACATTCAGGGCCTCCAGGGCTTTCCTGAAAGACAGCATGATGGCTCCAAGGCACATTGGCCAAAACAGAATGACAAAGAATGAAACATGAAAAAAACAAACCCAATCTGAATGCTCGCCATAGGCTCTGTAAAGCTGGTGCGTCCGGGTGCGATGCTCGTAGCTCAACCAGGCGGCAACCCTCAGGAGCGATGGCCGAGGGGTGTTTCATCCCCTCGGCTTGGTTCGGAGACCAGTCGACCACAAATGGCACAAGACCTGCCATGGGAAGCGCAGCAACTCCGGCTCTGTGATGGTCAGAAGCCAAACGCCATCTAAGGGTCTTCCCTTCTGTGTTCTGCCTTGAGAAATCTTGAATGGAGCCTATGTCGCACCCTGCTTTGGCAGCAGCTTCGACTGTTTCACTCAGGTCTCCCCGTCCATCCGAGCGTTGGACGCAGAAAGTTGTGAGCTTCGGCTTCTTGGGGCAGTCAACTCCAAGCCATGTTCCCACAGACTGAGACGGATCCTGGGCAAGCAATTCACAATATACACCTTCCCCAAGCGATACCAATGCGTTGTGGGTACCCAAGCCAAGATGTTGGCCGCCCACGCAAGGCCTCACGCCGGTAAGTGCCTCAAAAGCATCCATTCCGTCCGCCACCGACTCGACGCACCAAACCAAATGATCCGTGCACAACTCTGGGGAGTGTCCCATATTGAATCGACAGAAGAGGCTGCGTACCGCTAGTCTGGTGATGAGCTCAAGCCAAAAGGCTGATGACGAAAGCAGTGTTGCCATGTCTTGCGGGATTCTAGCTGCCAAGTCATCGCACTCACACACATATACACACAAGAACCTGCAATCAGGCCATCGCCACACATCCTTTCATGCGTCTGCTTCTGGCGTCTAGGTTGCAGTATGCTTGCGTCGAGGCCCTCCTGCCTCACACGTCGATCAAGTGAAACTCCGCATCAAGCGTGAGCGATGCAACAGTCTGACTCTGATCTGCACTGCTTTGCCCAACTGCGACTGCGAGAAAGAGCAGTTGCAGCGCTTTGGACCACAGACGGATGCATAAGTCGCACAAGTCAAACGAACTGTGCAGTTTCACAGAGCGCCACCATGCCTATTTAGCAGGTGACAACGGGCCATGTTGCTGGACGGAACTTCGACAGCATCAAGTTTGCAATAGTGTGTTCGGGACACAGCGTGAGATCCATGGCTCCCAAGCGTCTACGTCTGACATCTTGTTGCTCGGCATTTAGAGAACCAGGGGCATGCCACTTCGATGGCATCAGCGGATGAGGAAGCGCTAGAAGCTCTGGAAGTGCAGCATGTCTTCGAACGACCTTCATGTTTGAATCTTTGACTAGCCCTGAATGTGTGCGAGTGTAGATGTTTGTTGTCAGTGTTGTTCAATGTCTCGAAAAGTCTGGTCCATGAGAATATCGGAATGCACCTGGTAATGAACAATTCCTGCCCTGATGGCATTGTAATGTATCGGATTGGCCAGCAAACACAGCACGAATATCATGCTAATATCCATATTTCAGCACTCACAACTAGGACAAGCCTGGCGAGGGTTCCGGTACGACGAAGCACTTCATATCCAATTTAGTATGGTTCAAATCGCCACCACATCTATCCAGTCTATCCTTCTGAACAAAAACAAACAAGCAAACAAAAAACAAAGTGCCCCACCTGGCTGACGCAGTTCGGCGAGCTGCTGCTGGCCCCTTAGCACTTGCGAGCCAAGAGAACACACACACACACACGAGGCCGCAGCCGTGGCTGTGGCTGTGAAATAGACCTGTGCGGGGCCAGAAATGCCAGCATCCCTGCTTGGACCCATTTGCTTCCATCAACCTGCCTTTGCGAGATTTCACAGCTCGGCTTTGTGCGAGGGCACGAGGGAGATGGCGACAGCCACCGGTTGTGAAGCACCGAACTCGGCTAGAGTCTCGATCTCACCTGAGGCAGCTTCCACAGCAACCACAACCACTGCAGCAGCCTCATCCTGTCGATTTGGCAACTCGTAGCAATGCTGGCGAGTTACTGCCATCAAGGTTTGCACGCTGAAGCTTGCTGTTTCGCTGTACTGATGGTCCACCTCTGGTTTTGTACTGTGTGCCAAGCTGGGTCCAATAGACTTTGCCTCGCGCGAATGCTCGTGACAGCTGATTCTGCACAAGCAACACACACACACACACACACCCGCACAGCCACATTATATACACGCTGACATAGACATAGAGACATAGCTACAAGTAACACACACACACACACACTGGTTGGCACTCACGGACGTGCACCCGCAACCCCACACCCTCAGTCACCCGCAGACACAGACACACATGCACACCCATGCACGTACGCCGGTCCATACATTCCCCGCCTGCCACAGAGTCCACGGCAATCCCCTGAGGGTCCAAAAGACCCGTCAGCTGCTGGAAAGGTTTGTTCGAAGGCTGCGAGTTGGGCAGCAATACAACCTTAGAGGAACTCATTGTGATCTGCTCTGCCATCTGCAAGCTTTAACTTCATGTCCGGTCTGTTGCGATGTGAATATGGTCGCGCTTGGCTTCAGGCTGTTTTGTTGTACAAGACTTCAGCGGAAGATCCGTCGGGTTTGCATCTTCGAATCTCGAAGCTGCCCGCATCTGTCCAGTACCTTCGTGCATGATGGTATGTGAGAGGCAACGGGGAGTGAGAACAGGAAAACCTTCTTGAGTCCTTTCATAGTGCGTGCAGTGGGCAGATGTATGTACGGAAGGATGGACGGATGGATGCATGGAGGCATGGACGGATACATGGATGGATGGATAGAAGGTGGATGGATCGATGGGTGGATGGATGAAGGCTTGCATGCCTTCAGACTTGCTGCTACTTGTAGCGAAACAAATTCGGCACATTCATGTTTTTTTCAAGTGCACGCTTCTTGTGCTGGCACTTGACAACCAGTTCTTGGTCAGATTCCTTGAGCGCTTGCACCGCAGGCACAGCATCTGTGCACGACATGGGCGCGATGATCGTGCTCGCGATCTTGCATCATCGCGCCATGGAAAATGCCATTACGGATGTTTTTGCGCTGATCAAGCTGTCAACTCCCGCGCTGAAAGCCCTCTTCAATGAAGTTGCTGACTGAAAACATGCAGTAGCTTTTTCCGTGACGAGATACCAAGAACGGCAAGATCCCGTGTACGATTCGTCAGCTGATGGTGTTGACCGAGTTGAACCAGGTTCTATAAGGTTCTCCTAAACTGCATGCAGAAGAAGCAATCGGAGACAGTGGACCGAAATGGGCAGATCATCTTACAGCAGATGTAGAACACCCACGGATTCGGAGAAAAGATCAAGAGGCTTCAGGAGAAAAGGTTTCTCGGAAAGAAATCGACGAGCTTATTGAACAGGAAAGCACTTTGCGAGAGAGGCCCGTGCGTAAACACCTCGTCGGGACGTCATTGGGAGCACCCGCGCGACGGCTTTTTCAATAACGTGGCCCCTCCTGGCATCTGTGGCATTTGTCGTCCCTGACGGCGCCGCGCAACAGCTCTGACGTTATCTGGGAGCCTGTCTGCTTCGGACAGGCAAGCCCCGTTCTCTACTCGTCTGCCCCCAAGGCCTGCGTCTGAGATGCCATGTCGATTGCTTCTGGGATTGTCGGAACGTCCCAAGCACAGCTTTGCGACATCTGTGCTGGCTGCCACCTCCAATACCAACCAAAATTGCTGCGGCAATACAAGTACGTTAGCCTGCGCCGTGACAGCTGTAACTTTGACACGTTGAGAAGCTTTCCGAGAAAGTGCCGACAAGCGGCAGCTGTCCATCGGAATCCAAGGCAACATGCATGGGATGGGAGGCGTTGGACAGCGTGGCCACACCGGAGCCGTCTAGGGCGGCGCTTTGAATCCTGGATACACCGAGCTACAGACTACCAAATCATCTACGCCTCAAGCCTGCAATCACCACATGTTCATGGGATCGAGGCATTCTATTCTGACGCTGACCTGGCTGTGTTCTCGTAGCCACATTGATCGGCCCAATATATCCGACTGGCCTGGCTTGGGAGAACGGCTCGTCTCACAAAAAACGCCACATCCCCGAGCCTTTGAGTCCAAGGCCAGGCCTGCAGGCTCCTGCAGATCCGAGACCTCGGGAGACTCGGAACATCTCGGAACCCTTAGCTGAGCCTAGAGGTCCTTCGATGGAAAGCCTAGGCCTCTGGGACTCTAGGGCTTCCTGTCCCTCGGATCCAAGGAGCCAAGACTTCGATGTCGGAACCGTTCAAAGCACTGCGCTGGATCTGAGAGCTCGTCAAGTCCTCGGCTTTACCGTAGACTCCCGAACAACGTGTAAACACAGGCCCTAGGCAGCCAGGAAGCCGTCCAGTAAACTTTGCCATCTGCATCCGTAGCTATTCCCTGCACATGGACGCCTGACACCACCTCCTGTCATTCTACCACTCTTCCGGAAAAATCTGGAAGGCTGCTTTGTTGTCCAGCGGTAGCGCATCTTGAGACGCTCCTCCAGGTTGCTGCCGTCTAAGTTGCAGCGCATGATCCGGTCGGAATTGTCGTCAGATTCTGAAAAGTACCTTGCCAACGACGCTTCTGAAAGCAGCATAGCGCAACCTGAACCAAAATCTCGTAATCCGTCTTCGTCCTTTCTAAACCAGGCGACAGCTTTTGTCTCAAATCGTCCACGGCCAAGGAATTCCTCTCAACAATCATGTGGATTCTCAAAACATATCACGAGCGAAGAGTACAAAATGCGAAGACTCTGTGCAAACAAGCATCGGATGCCCGAGCCCACTTAACAGCACTTTCCGATCTGTCCCGTCGAGGTTTGCCCGCATGAGGCAGTCCTTACAGCTGAAACGAAGCCATGCCAGCTGAACACAGCTTTCATCAGCCTACCATGCCATGCCCAGTGGCGGGCCAGTTCATAAGGAGGTAGAGTTGCCGTGCCTCCACGTGTGCGAACCTTGGGATCTGCGAGAGCGCACACGCATGCGAATGCACTGTGCCCCCAGCCTGTGTCATCCCAGTACCATCATCCACAACAAAGACATTTGACGGATGGAATCAACATCCAAACCTGCAATACCACGGACTGAGCTCAGCCAGCGAGCAACGCAGCCAACGCAGCAAGGAGAGCATAAAGCATGCGCTCCGGCAGATGTTCTCTCGCAGGCTGCGAGGCTGAAAAATTTCGACATCACCCCACGCTGGATACATGTGCAGAGAGGTCGAACGGAAACAAGTCTTATTTCTACAGCTGGTAATGGATCTGAGACGGAGATGCTGTGGAGGCTGGAGCCAAAAGTGCTTCAGACATTGAAGGTGGCAGTCAAGACCATATCCAGCAAGTCACAGGTGGCCAAGGAAGCCTATTTACGTAGTTCACCGACAAAGCTGACGTGATGACCATTATGATGATGTTGATGGTGATGACGGTGATGACGGTGATGAAACGACGCAGCAGTCCGTTTCGTCTCCAAGCTGCTCGCAACGGCTGTGCAATGCAGACGCAGGGAACGGGTTTCTCGGGAGATGGCCTGATCTAGAGATCTGGCAACATGCAAGCTCTGGCAGCAGTCCAAAAAGGTCTCTCAGAGATCCGGACTGTTGTTGAATTCCTCCTTGGTTGGGACATATTCGGCTGTTCCTCGCAAGATCTTTGCTAACGCATTCTTGCCAGCACAAAGCTGGGCCACCGTCTTGCTGCTGGCCCGGTGCAGCACTTCAACCAAACGCTTCGCGGAGTCCCTCGTGTAGCATTCCTTGCCTTCGCCAGAGTTCGTGCTGGGAACGGTGAGCCGGGTCTCTGGATCATACACGGACATAACGCTGTGGACGTAAGTCTCCAGGTGCAGGGCGTGTGCTCCGGAAGGACAGCTGTAGAGTATGGGCATGTACTGCAGGGACCCTTCAGGAAAGGCCCTCTTATAATTGTGCAAGCGACTGACGGCCGATGCCTTATCAAGTCCACACTCCACATTGCTCTTGCCCACCTTGCAGAAAGCATCGTAAATCAGGAGGTGCACCATGCCTAACTCAAAGTCTGCTGAGAAGTGGAGATCTCGGCAGCATAGTTGTGTGACTTTCAGGCATTGCTGGCGCAAGCGGGGAGTGCGGTAGCAGAAGATGTCCAAGAGAGAGCTGCGCACGGCGTCCCAATGCGTCTCGGCTCGTCTCGTCTTGGCAGCAGAGAGTCTCTCCGTCCACGTAGGAGGCTCTGCCATGCCTAGTGGCCAAAGTGGCAGCAGCGTGTCGGGAGCCAGCTGCGGAACATACTCATGCGGGAAGCTCGGCAGGGGCTCCACGTAGATACCCACCCTGAGTCCCAGTGAGCACGGAGACAGGCGTAAGTACAGGGCGCAGAAAAAGCCGGCCACCCAGAAGAAGCCAGCAGCCGAGGCTCTCAAGAGGCCGGCAGCTCAACAAGACACCTCCGACACGCAGGCGTGGCTCACGTGTGCGTGTCGGAAGTGTCTTGTTGAGCTGCCGGCCTCTTGAGAGCCTCGGCTGCTGGCTTCTTCTGGGTGGCCGGCTTGTTCTGCGCCCTGTAGTCACGCCTGTCTCCGTGCTCACTGGACTCAGAATCTCCGGATCCCAGTACTGCCGCTCGCCTCTTGGGATCTGAACAGCTGTGGTGTCGTCACCTCTCATGAGATCCGGGATGACGCGGTGCTGGTTCAGGTAATCGTCCAGCTGTGTTCTGCCTCTTTTTTCTGAGAGCGAAAACGGTCGTAAGTCCCTTGGATCCCAGACAGCACACGTCTGGCGACGAAGGCGAGACCTTGATTGGTCACCGTGGGCTGGCGCTGTCGATGCCCTTCTTGCTGCCATTGTAGCAGCGAGATGGAGTAGAGTAACTACAAGGTCACAAGGTGCATCGTACCAGCTCACTTACATTTGCCATGGAGTAGCTCACCCGTTCATCGTGGGACTCCACTGGGATCTGCATGGACGCATCCAACGCCAGATATGGATCTTCTGTCGCCGTCTGCTTTTCCTCAAGAAGACTCCGCAGACCCCTGCGGAGCTCTCCGCTGCTGCCACTAGGTGCTTCCGGACTGAAGTCCGTGGCAGTCCGCTTTCGTCGAGGTGGAGTCGCGAAGCCTTGCGTGCAATCCATTGGTGCGAAGCCTGGTCTTCCGGCCTCTGGGTCCACGAAGCCTTGCGTGCACTGCAGCGGTGGTCTTCCTGCCTCCGGATCGAGCAAGCCTTCCGTGTCATCTGCCGCTCGTTTCCTCTTGAATTGCGGACTTGGAAGTCCTGGAATCGTGGTTGCTGGCGACGATGACAGAGCGTCCATCACAGTCACAGCTGGTGAAGCTGGCGAAGCTGCCGAAACCTCCTGCTGTGTCGGACAACGGAGGTAACACGTTCCAGAACATCGAGTCGTGCGGAAGAGACGCCATGACGGCTCGCGGCTTGCTGCTCTGCCGGCTTGAGACGAACAAAAAGCTGAGGATGCCAAGATGACGGTGATGCCGGTGGCATTGCTATTGAATGCTCTCTAGTGCTCTCTGTTGCGTTTCTGCAAGATGCTTTCTTTTGCTGCGGGCTATGACGACGGGGTCGTGCGGAGCATGATGTCCACCACGATCGGAGGGTTGGACACGGCAAAGAAGGCATCGGCAGATGACCTGGGCGTCGCGGGAATACAAGAATCTGTTGCAACAAGAGACTATCTGGCTCCTCGGTGCCGTGGACGCTTTACCAGGCAGCGAGATGCACGAGCTTAAGCCCTTGGCGCATTCACCTGTACGACCTCAGCCACCAGCATTGCAGTGCATCAGGGGCACGGCTTGCAGTTAGTCCTGGAGGCAGGACTAGCAACGCAGCACCAGCATCCACATCAGCAGCATTATGTTCTTTCTTCCGCCTCTTCGGCGAATCCACACCGTCAACTACTGCTGGGATGATTCAACAATATTCAACCTTCGTCGTTTCACTCGTATCATTCTCGTCGCCATCATCAACCTTCAGTGTTCTGACAATGATGCTGAGATGCCCGCACCATCCTTGCACGCGACTCCATGACCTGTCCCCCTACATGTCTGGCAAGCTTGGTAAAATCGCAGAACTCCAACTTCGCCAACCATGTCTTTTGTGGCCCGAGCCAAGGTGATAGTGCCCGAAGATGTGCACGCGCGGCCTCACCTCGTCGATCCGCACCTGGAAATAGCAACAGCAACTATCAGAATCAGAGGTTGCCGCGAAAGCCTACAATCTGAAGAAACCTGTCTGGTTCGTCTGCCTGGAGGCATGCACTCGCCCTGCCGAGTGCTCCTTTCAGTCATATCTCATGAATACCTGACGACGGACACCAATGATGCTGCCACCTTCGCCTGCAGGTCCATGGGTCACCAGGATGTCCAAGCCTGGCGCAGCAAGGAGTTTAAACGCAGAAGGCTAAGCTGCACCAGCCTTCAGGTACGGCAGAAACTGCTTTGGCTTCGTCGTAGCCACTTTGGCTCCTTGGGTGGCTCGTCTGGGTTGCAATTGCAGGCATGATTTTGAAGAGCAGTTCGCGAATGCCGGCATGATTCTGAAAGGCTCCGTTCGGGCTCGAACCGGCAGACAATGGCCTTGGGAGCAAAAGTCGTTGTCAGCACGACTTGAAACCGTCTTCCACACTGCTAGCACACCTTGCCGTCTTATGCCGTCTTGGCCTTGCACGAGCCATGGATCTTTAAACCTTGGGGACATGAGATGAACTTCGTTCCCTTCGCTTCGACTCCGAGATCGGCACTCTCCAGCTCGACGGACTCATCCTGGCGCAGCAGTATGGAGCATGCATATATATATATATATATACATGCATATAACATATTTATATATATATATATACAGGACTCCGCAAGTCTCCTCAAGGGGTCCTCAAGGTACGTGCAATGGCCCAGCAGCCGCTTCACGCCAGCAGCACGGAGATCCCGCAAAGCGCCGTCCTGAAAACTACCACTCTGGTTGTCGTGTGACAGTGAGGCCCCCTTCCTCGTACTGCAAAATTTCTATTTTGGCACAGTGGAAACAAACTGACAAAACGGAATAACAGTCTCTCAACATGCACAGTATGCATCGACACAGTCTCAGGTTGTCGCATGATTTCCTGCGACCAGCAGGCGATGCCTATGCCTGGCAGGAGGCACACACGGCATACTGTCTGTCTGACTCTGTAAGACTTATTTACACCAGCACATCGATTGGCGATGCGAATTACTCCAAGCCGGTCTACCAAGGCCGTGACGAGAGTTCGGAAAGCCAACGATTAAAGTCGGCGAGAGCGGCGATGTCCTCGACCTGAGCTTGAGACAGAGTGGCGTCCCGACATACACCGACACGCTTCACGCTACCAGTAGGGGGACAAATTCAATGCTGCCGTGGGACAGCTGCTCCTCTGCTCTCTAGCAGCACGTCGCCGCAGTGGACAAGGATCTGAACGTGGAGGCGCTGACTTGAACCGAGTGTAACTGAATATTACTTGGACTTGCGCATCTCCGGGCGGCATTGGCGAATGCAAGTCCCGATGCTGCAAGTGCGTGTCCTCATGAGGTGTTTGGCGGCAAGCATCGGCAATGGTCGACCACGACTACACCATGCAAGTGCCTCTACGGTAGACTTGAAGCCCTGCAGGCATGGTTCATGCAACAGTGCTGCCGCGTCAAAGCATCTGTAGGGAAGCGGCCGAGATGCACACACATCCTGGCAAACATGTTCTGACATGAAGCGAATCGCGAGCGCAGGCTCCTCGTGTGGACTAAAAAGATGGCACAACTCTAAGGCCTGCAACCTGCAAGTGGGCGGCCTATACTCGGCTCTGAGGGTCTCGCTGATGGCCTGGTCTTGGCACGGAGGTGGTGTTGGTAGCCTCGGGCAAAAGAGGAAAGGCATCGCAGCAGACGCAACACGGCCTGACACACGTGCCAAGCCATGTTCTTGAGATGCAAATGCTTGCAGACTTTCTGGTTTACAGCAGATTTCTCGCTGTCGGCTTTTTGACTCGACCGCCGTTGTCACCCCTTGCAGCACTGGCAGAACTCGTCTTTCGATGGTTCCTGGCCTTTCGGGGGCTCTCGCTGACACGACTCCTCTCGCCGTTGTTGCCAGCTCTGGCTTTGCCACCACCATTCACCACCCCACATCACATCCGGCGCTTCGAAGTTCAAGCTCTTGCCGACCAACTCGCCCCAATGATGAGCAACGTCTGGCCGTTCGACGAAAACAGTCTACTCGACGCCGTGTGTGCCGCTCATCATCTACGCTTGTGCAGGAGGGTGTTCAGGGAATCAAGCTCTTCCTGCAGTACCTTCACAGAAGAGTGCCGGCATGCCCACAGCAATGTGAGGAATTCTCATGAAATGGCCGTCTGAAGCAATGCCATGTGCAGAAATGATACAGCGAGACAGAAAATGCTCTGAGGGCATTAGGGAAAAATGGAATGTCTGGCCACTGTGAGCGACCTAACGGGTCTCCTGACAACAGCTTGTGGAAACTGCCGGAAGTATGTGATATCACGCCAAGGTTCACATGCGCAAGTTCCTACAGCTCAGACAGCTTATACGCCATTTATACTCACCGCCCTACACTCTTCGATGCAAGGACGGCTGGAGCTGTCGCTTTCTGTACGCGGCCTCACGCAACATGCCAGGACCACTTCTTTCCAGATACCTCGCCGACAGTCAAAGCCGGGATGCGGGATGGCATGCGCAAACGAAAGAATTATTTGCCATGCAGGATAGTCACTCATGGAGGAGCTCCAGGAAGGCTTCGACTTCAGGATCGTCCTTCTGTTCAGGTAGCAGGAGACTGTTGTCTTGCACTGCAAGGCGTTAGCAGCATCCGTCGCTTTCTGTTCAAACGTAGGATGCGATGTTGGCATACGGAATGCTGCAACACTGACATGCTGTCTGGCTGTCATCAGGCCTCTGCTCCAGTCTGCAGTGCGTGTCGAATCCTGGAGTGCGGGGCGGCCGGCAACAGCGGCACTGCCTCGCGAACGGAAGCAGGACAAGTACTTCAATGGGCAAAAACGCCAGACTCCCACAATGATACTGTATGATACCCCTTCCGATGAAGAGCAGAAGCCTATCAAAGCAGGTTGAGGCCGGAAGTTCGGTTTCAAGTCTCTTTTCGCGATCGAGATCGTCCAGCGCAGAGACAGTTGAGGAAGCGTGCTCAAACGGTTCTAGTTCTTTCATCAAATTACTCGTACCCTGTGCATGCGGCGGTAGCGCCGCAAGCAACATGGGCCACGCGAGTGAAAGTCGGGAAACGTCTTCTGGGGGGGAGCTACAGAGCTCCATTTCACAGCTCACCTCAGCAATGACTCCACCATTTTCTGGACAACCTCCTCCAAGAGATGGTTTCAGGAAATGCTGGAGCCATTGCTCAGGTGCGCTACGAAATAGACCTTTCTAGCATCCAGGTCTTGCATGCGCGCTCTGCATATGAGAAATCGAAGCTGCGTTCCCACCACAAACAGGTTTCCCCCGCAGCGGGGGTAGGACTCTTTGACCAAATGGAGCCAGCAAATGCCAGCAAGATGCATTTCAACGACCAACCTCCATTCACAGCTGTGAAGTAGCACCCTCTCCCTGAACCGATGGAGAATTACACGCAAGCTGCCCCTTGCTGCAGCTTGTTCCTGAAACTCAGCTACCTTGCTTCTGCTAACTCTGCTCCATCCTGCTTGAGCTCTCTTTATCCTTCTTCGGGTACTGGTACAGGCTCGGGCCTTGGTCGCTTAGCCTCGTGTTTGTGATGCTCGCGCCCGTGCTGAGGAAAAGCAAAAGGTGAGGCAACATGCATGAAAGACTCAATCTCTTCCAAACACTGCTGCCTCAGCGGAAAAGCTCGAAGTACCAGCAGCTTCAGCGACGAGAGTGAGGCAAATGCCCCCTGGACAGGAGCGGCTGCACGGCTTGCACATTGCGAAGCTCTGCAGCTATGCGAAGCCAGCTCGTGTCACCCTGTTGCCCAGCCTTTCTCGATGCTCAGCACCTCATCCTGCAGAGCCCAGCCAAAGTCCGCCATACGGCAGCGCAGCTCCATCATTGCCTCGACGTGTACGGAATAGTGCTGACGCAGGAGTTCGGGTTGCTGATGCATAATGCCTGCCGCCTCGGGGGCGGTTGGCACGCTGGGCTGCAGCACAAGGCGCTGCGCAAACTGCGCCGTCGGGATCCATGTAGACAGCTTGCCTGCGTCTTCCCGTGGCTTTGCAACTTTCGGCCGTGCAGCGATTTCCTTGCTGCCGTGTAGGCCGGCTTTCAAACTCAGGGCCTGCTGCAATGCCTGCCGCACACACCACGTCCACCTCGCCCGGGTGGAGTGTGGACAAGCCATCCCCGAGCCTGAAGTCAATACCTGACATGGAGAATCCAACACAAACACTGTAACATGCTGTAACCGGCATGGCCACACTTTAGCACAGCTGCGGCGGCACTGGTCGGTTGGCAATCCGCGTGCCAGCATGCGACCTTGCCGGAGCAGACTTTCATGCCTGGTGCGAATGGTACTTATACGACTTTGCAAATTGGCAGTCTTTCCACTTGGTGATGGCCTAGCCTTCGGAACTTCCTGGTGCAGCCTGTTGCATCGTAAGCCATGAGAGGCAGTCAGTCTCACGGAAAGAACAGCCCTGAGATTTCGACTCCGACTCGAGTCACGCTAGATTCTGCTAGATATCGGGAATACCATTAACTTTGGAAGGCTGGTTGCGGGCAGCTGCTCAAGCCCAAGCCCAGCCGGGCCTAGCTCCAGAGGCCCGGAAGCCAGATCTGTTGCGAGCACACGCACGCCTGACTTTCACTAGAGATGGCTATCAACCAACACACACATTCCTCACAGTGTCACGTGCTGCCGTTTGTATGTTCTTGTACCATAAAGCCGAAAAGCCAAGAAGCCGGCGTCTCGCTGCACAAGGTGAAGGCCCAACAAGGCTTTGTAGCAACCGACATCAGCCACCCGCAAAGCTTCTGGTAGGTGGCAAGCAGCTTGCGGACGGGGTGTGTGCGAGCCCATGCAACAAGCTTATAGGGTTTGTGACAGTCCCCAAAGATTGACAGGTCTCGTTCTCAGCTGCATGAATCTCTCGCTTTTTCTCCCTTTCTTCTGCTGATGCTTTGGAGGGAGGCATGTTGCCCTTCTGTCTTCTTCTTGGACTTCGGCCTGATTCCTGTCTCTCGCTTTTTCTTTCATGGGGCTTGGAGCAGGAGCCGGGGTCGTCTGGCTCTCTCTGCAGGGAAGTGTGACAAAATGTCGGATTCCTCGGCCCGGTATCGGACGCAGGGCTGCGTCGGCCACCGGCATCAAGCGCAGGGGCAGCTCGGGACTGGTGGTCGCGCTGCATACACCGGGAAGGACCGGCTCGTCTCCCATGCGGTCCCATGTGGAGGATGCCACTATAGTCCCCAGGCTGCCTAGGAGCTAGCCGCTAGAGACTAAATGTAGCCGGCTTGTGGTATCGTGTTGTATGTACTTGATGGTTAATTATGGGTGAAATCTGGCGAAGTTATAGCAGCACTCATGACCTTCGATAACAGCTTGGCGTAGCACGAAGGAGGCCGCAGAGCGGTGTCGAGACGCTTCCAGATGCTACCAGCATGACGCGTGAACTCGACACAACCCGGGCCTGAACATACACGACTGCTCACTGAGAGGCACTTGCACAGCCTGAACCAACATAATTAGGAAAACGCAGAAGAACTTTTTCATCCTCCGTGTGCGTTATGCATCACTTGGCAAGGATTCTGAGCGCCGTGCTCGCCGCACGGCAAACTGGGCATTCGTAGAGGGTAGCAGCTTGTCGAAATCACGAGCTTCCACCCGCGCTGGGGACAGGGAAGGAATATTCTCGAGCTGTGCATGCGGAGGAGGTTCCACCCGTGGCTTCGGCTTGATGATCTGTGGCGATCCCAGCAGGGCATGACGCGGCCGCTCGAGTGACAATCCCAATGGAACCAGCGCTGGAGGCCAGGGCGAGGGGCCGACCAACTGAGATTCCGTTGAATCTTTACTCTTTTTCGGTGGCAGCTCTAGCCAGCGTTCCAAAGCAGGGTTTCGCAGCACACGGTTCTGCACAGCAGCCAAGACCATGTTGGTACACATGAAGACAAACACGCCTGAGGGCGCAAAAGGGCATACCCGACAACAGCGCACTGGCAAGAACAACATAACAACATGCCTCTCTGCACAGTTTTCCATTCGTGCAGCCCAGAGTCCTGCCGGGAATCCTGAGGTAAAGGGAATGAACATGAGAGCAGATCCGCGCATCACGTACTTCTGATACTTCTGCATTGTGTTCTGGCCCAGCGCTGATCCGCCGGCGTCACCACCTGCACCCATTGCGCTGGGCACCGCTTCAGTATCCACAGAACCATAAAGCTCGGTGTTTGTCATCATGATAGCACCTTGGGCTCGGGGAAGGCAGCTGTTGCGCAGAAAAACTGGACTGCGTGATGTCTGCTATCCTACAACCCTCTCACGCAACCGTGCGATCCACTTGGTGTTGGGCGAATTACTGGGCACTCTTAGAAACCCTAAGATCTGCAAATACATGTTAAAGTCATGTTAATGACCTTGGCCACACACTTATTGTGCTGGAACTGCAAGCAACATTTCACCCCAGGTCACTGGTGAGGATGGGCATCAGGTAGTACGGATCAGACAAAGCGAGGCTGTCCAGCCAGAGCGGGGCCTCCATGGCAAAGCCCCGGAAGACATCCGGGTGGTTGGCCATGCCACGCATGGCCGCAAAAGCCGTAATGTACAAAGGCATCTGAAAAAGAAAGAGATTCCAAGTGCCCTTCATCATGAAGAGCCTGCCGTGCTTCTGGGTGAAGGCTTGAATCTTCTTTTGTGCTTCTTGGGCCTTGACCGGATCTCCTTCCGTCTCTTTCTGCTTTGCCATCAGCTCCTCGTATTTGGGCTGCAGGAGCGCCTTCTCTCGCGTGCCGCGAATGGCAGATATACTGACTGGCAAAGCTATGAGACGAATGCCGAAACAGGTAGCTATGATGGCTGCGAACCACGAGCAGCCGGCATAATCGTGAATGTCAATCATAAGGGTCTGGAGCAGATCTACAGGGAGCCACGGGTGGTATTCGCTGGACACATCTGTGCCCCTTGCTACAGCTGCCTCCAGGCATTTGTCCAGCAGGTTTCGGGACATGGAATCTTCTGGATAGCCCGACATTGCCAGTTGTGCCCGAACAGGGCCGGCTGATATGAACCGCACATTTCGCCCATCGCGCACGGGCGAGATCCCAAGCGGCACGCGCGGCCAGACACGCAAACAAAGCCTGGCAGAGTTGGGCCGCAGGAGTGAGGGCATGGTCGAAATGCACCTAAGAGCTGTGGAGCCAGAGCACATCATGACGACAGGCCGCAAGCAGACGTGCAAGTCCAAATGGGTATGTTACGTTTAGTCCGTTTAGTAGATCTGGATGCTTCAAGAATGCACAAAGCTTAGAGGCCGCTGCCACCTTACATCTGCCGGAGAGCGGTCGACGGGAACGACCTCGACGGGTTCTCAAATGTGGCAAGCAACCTCCGTTAAGCATTCTTTTAACATCGCAAGATGCTGACAGCCTGAGTCCCGAGCGACATGTATTACCTGGCGCTCTGTGCCGCCTCAACACAACCCGTATGGCAAAGCCTCACTGGGAGATCACAGTATGCTGAGTACGACGCGCAAACGTCGGAACCAGAGCAACGCTGCAAGACGGGCACCTAAGGATTGGAAAGGCAACGCAGTTTTGTAGACTCAATGGACCGAACTCGGGCCGAAGAGTTCAAAGTTGCCACTTATTTCAGCGATTTTCAACGATGCAAACCATCGAAAAGCAGAAGAGTCATGCGATCTCGCAGGGTCCCCCACGCCCGGCTGGCCTCAGCAAAAGCAGCCATACCAAGCCTGAATCTGAACAACACTCTCTTGCCCCTTGTTTGGGTGTGCGCCCCCTGTCCGATGTGCAACTTGAAACAAATATAGCTGTACATTATATTCAAAAGCACATGAGCACACATGTAGCTCCCTCTTCAACAGTTTTTCCCAGCGTCCGGAAGAACCTGTCTCTTTACGCTCTCGCAACTCAGTCACAGCTGCAAGTTTTTCTGGGTCAGACGGCAAAACCTGAACCTTTTACCCCCGCCTGCTATCAGGCCCTCTTCCTCCACATACCCTTGCGAACGGCAACGCTGTCAGGAAAGCTGGGGCTGTGTCGCCCGAGCATGCTGAACGGGATCTGCACGAAATCCTTGCGGCTGGAAGGCTCACAGCGGTATTGTGTTGGAGTCGTTCACGCTAGTGATACACAGGATGTTGCCCCTCTTCCGATGAAATGTCAGATGGGGGAATCATTTTTTCCCAGAATGCTGCTTTGCGAAACCCCACCTGCAAAACTTCATGAATCTGAAGCTTTGAACGAGAGGGCTCCACAGAGACCTTTCGGGTGCGGTCTGCCAAGGGCCAAGGGCTTACTACGAGCCCGCTCCACCTTCCCAAGGCAGTTCTATGGCGACGAGCCATCGCAGGATATCTGCGGTACTAGGGCCATGCCAGCTTGCATCGTCTGATATCGTCTGGGAGTTCTCGCATCGAAGTGATGTTACTTCTGTGTGCCACGGATCCAGGCTCTGGCGTAACCGCTTATCTTGCGACGGCGATCTCGAGCGAACTGGAGCCAGCAAACAAACGGCGGTTCCAGGGTGTCTCATGAGGCATCACCGTTTTCAACGTCTCTGCACGCAACAGCGATGTCTAACAACCGAGATCAGCAGAGGGTAGGCGAGGCAGCAAAGGCGAGTGGCAGACAGCAACTGGCAAGCCACTTGCTCAAAATGTGGACATCATGCATCATGCGGGGAGTCCACCTGCACAAGCGGCAAGACTGAGAATGCAAGGCCGTCTTTGTCATCTCCAGGCGTTAACAATCTGGGTCGGGACCGTCGCTCAGGCTTGGGTGGCCTGCAGTAATCAACTTTTAAGTTTCGTTTGCCCGGCTTACCCTGTGGGGAGGTCTCAAACTCCAGGGCGCTGGCGTCTCCAGTGGAATCGGAGCACGGAGGGTTTTACCTACAAGCCAAAGCTCGGTGTTTTATTGGATTACATCCAGGCGGCAGGAAGCCACGAAGAAATGACATGCCTCTCGAATCGCCTGATCGACGTGGCGGAGTCTGTGGCCTTTGCACAGATAGGTCAGGTCTGCCAGCGTCAGAGCGGGGGCCGCGCCGGCCAAGCGAAGCACGGGTGAAAGCATCAGCAAGTGACAGTGAAGCATGGCAGCATGGTGGTTCTTGGGGTGCCACTTCTAGGTCATCATGTCGTGCTTGCTACATGATGCCTGAGACTCCCACGCGGGGGTCTCTCGGAGGTCTTCTGAGTCTGCCGATGCTGGAGTTGCTCCTGATACCATGACTCTTTTCAAGCTGCCTTTCGAAGGCCTTTGGCGACCCTAGCTCTGCGATGCGCGCCTGTCCCATCGCCCGCAGATCTGGAAAGCAAGATCCTGCCAGAGATGGGGAGAACAGCCGGCTAGCGGCTTAGTGATAAGCAGGCAGGGCTGAGGCTCAGGTCTCGGCTGGGGGGGCTCCGCTGGCGTGGATGATGCAGTCGACTCCTTCAAGCACTGCGACATACTGCGACGAAGAGGGCAACATGTCGACTAAAAGCTTCGAAAAGGCCTCGGCCCAAAGGTCATCTCGGGCCCGCTTGCTAACCTCGGTACGTTTGTCCAGGGCAGCTCTGCACTCTTTCTCGGTGGACATCTTGGGCCACAGAATGCGACAGCTGTCGAAGCTTATGGCGAAAGAAATGAGTCCAAGGTCAACAGAACAGTTCTGAACACTGGCCACACTGGCAGGACCTGGCAGGACCTGGCAGGCCTCGCAGGCCAGACCTGGTACTTGAAACGCCAGGCTCCAAGAAGAAGCCACTGCGCTCGAGAAGCTTAAAACGGTGAGATGCTTGGCAGTCTGCTTCAGTCTGCCGGGATTTCTGGACCATTTAGCTCTAGCTTGGTCACTTAGTCTACTCCCGAAAACAAGAAAGCGATGGCTCGCTGGCCATGCTGCTCTACAAAAGGCTGCAAGCAGTGCGGCAGATCCGTCTCGAGAAATGTGACGCGTTGCATTCCGGAATCCTGCAAGTGCTTGTAAAATCTTCGTCCGTATGAAAGTGTGGCTTGCATCCTTCCCACGAAGATGAGGATCGGCACTGCCTTGTCGGGGCAGGCTTCTGCAGCCTTCCACGGAGAGTTCTCTTCAAAGACCGCTACTGAGTCACCGAACTGACCCTTGGCAATAAAGGCTCGGGTGCGAGTGAGTGTTTCCCAACTGTGAAGCGCGCCGTCCCAAACTATAATGCGCGAGAAAAGTTCCGGGTGCCGTAATCCAAGAAGCATAGCTCCAAAACCGCCCATGCTAAATCCTTGGATACACCGCTTCTCAACCAGGAGATGTCGCTCGACCTGTGGTATAACATCCTTCAATACACGAGTGAACATCTGAACAGTCTTGCCATCTGACCACATTCCAGACTTGGTGTCGTCATATGGGGCGACGATATGGACAGGTCTGCCAGCTTGCTCCAGGGCAGCAGCTGTCCAGTAAACCTCTTTCCGGACAAACGCGAAAATTTCTCCCAGACCGTGTAAGTGGTACAGGACCGATGCTGATGGTGTTGGTGGTGTGTACAAACAGTACCAGGTTCCGCTTTCTGTCTGGTGTTCAGTAACAGTCCCTTGAAGAGTTGGCTTGGAGCCACAGACGTATTGCACCAGACCTCTCAGAAGTGCTGCCATGTCAGCAGGATTTTGTACACTTGTCTACACTATCCAGTGACCCAGTGTGTGCAGTGGCTGCGGAAGCTGATGCAAATCCATACTGGACAGAATCTCTCCAGTCTCTGGGTCATCTGCACGCAGTGGCGTGGCCTCAAACTCGGCCACGGGCTGGCCTACAGAGGCAGCATGGGCCGGGTGGGAGTACGCCAGCAAAGAATTTCTAGAAGCATGTTGCCAAGGTGCTCAACCGAAATAGAATCACAAAGCGAAGACACGCTTGAATCTCGAGTTTGGGATTCTGTCAGCACGACAAGGCTATCGCCTCGAAAGTGGTGCTGGTCCAGGGCTTCTCCATCGAGTCTGGTCACCAGTTCGTTCCTCGCAAAGCGTGTCTGAAGCATCTAGCCATACCTAGCACGTCATAAGCGGTCAAGTGATAGGTCAAGCAGTCGGGCAGCAAAACAAGTGAGGCTAAGACAGAATGCCAAGCATTGTGATGGCACTCATTCGATCAGCCTCACAGCATCCATTTTACTGTAACTTGCATCTTCCAAGGCAGTGAACGCTCAGACCTCCTGTGCGTCAATGGCCTCGCGCAGCAAAGGCTCCAGCACCTGCAGCGGCGCATCTTTGTGCACAAAGATGCAAGCTGTGGCTAAATGCACTGCGAGAGGAAAGGCTCGGGTCTGGTCTAACGGCGCATGATGCGTTTCAGCTGACAAGTATGTTAATGCGACAGGCTTTGAGCTCCCAACCACTTCTGGTCCTCGTAACGACGCTTCATTCAAGACAAGTTCCGTCCCAATGCTCCGCATCCTGAAAAACACGGCTTGATTCAGGGTTGAGTCGAATGTATCTCTCGCACACATGCACCCAACGTTCAACGCATTTGAGCATGTCCACATACACCCGATAGTTTCGAGTGGACGAAGGGCCATGATAGAGAAGCACATTTCCAGCCAGCGCCCAGGATTCAGTATATTCAGTTGCTTCTACTGGGCCGTCGCCGCAACAAATTGAGATTTTTAGATTCAATGGTCGATATATGTATGTCAGCAGCTCCAACAGGTCGCGATGCTCAAAGTCAGCTGGGGACTCCGCAGAAGTCGCTGCGCGCTCCGAATCTGGACCCAGTATTTTGCATCTCCGTGGTGGCGCTGCCACAAGCCTGAGAGACACATGCAACGAGATGAGGACTGCACCTAGGTACGTCACCTTGACACGAACAGCAGACGACCTCAGTCAAAGGTGCAGCACGGATCTCAGTAGGTTGAGAAGAGGTGCGATGAAACGTATGTTTTTCAGCTTGCCGCTCGGAAGCTTCGGCAGGTCGGATTTTTTCATGCAGGGCCTATACGGCCAGCAGAGGCGAAAGAGCCACAAGCTGTCGGAAAACACTTCTTTGGACCCTGCAAAACGTGCAACTTAACTTCACACGAACTCGAGTTCCTTGTCCCCCCATCCTATGCAGTGCTTGTGCCGATCAAAAGTCGTCTGGATTCCCTCCATGATGCGCTGATGGAGTTCATCAATCTGCTCAGTGGTAGGGTTCTCCACCTGTGGGACCTCAATTAGTTTGCCTATGGCCATGGTGATTTGCACCCGGTATGGAATAGGCAGGAAACAGCGGCCCCAATAGAGGAAGAAGGATGCTTGCACTTTCCGCGAGATGGATTCCAGAATTCCCCAGCGGTCATACCAACACGAGAACGCAGCCGTGTTGCCGAAGGAGTAGACTGGGATCAGGGGCGTTCCTGTCTTCAAGGCCAGCCTTGCGAGTCCCTTTCGATCCTTCATAGCCACCAGCTCTCGGTGTTTGTTGGTCCGGAAGATGCCCGCGACGCCGTCCGGCAGGATGCCAACACACTGGCCGCGGCCAAGTGCTTTCACCATATCCTTCCGGTCAGCCGTCACGCAGCCATAGGACATCAGATAGCGGAGCCCAGGTGTTTTAAACACAACGTTGGCAGCCGCACCGACAAAGGGACAGCCGAGAGTCTCGTTGATCGCGGGAATGCCGAGCATGTTAGCGAACGGTAGCACGCCATGAGGTGGCCCGACACCGATCCACGGCATGCTCTTGCGCGCAGTCTGAACGTCATCATCACACCACAGGAGGCGGTAAGAGAAGTACCTGAGCAGTCTGGACTTAAAGCAATCGATTGACCCGGAAAATCACCTGGCCAATGGAGCGCTCACACACCCAAGAACAAGCAAGTAGCAGCAGCACGATAGACTCATGAGGGCAAGGTCAGGGTGTATATATTGAGGTGTAGGCCCAAGATGACAAAGGGCGGTTCCGTCAAGTGGCTTGTTCATCCACTGTGTAAGCTTTGATTTCATCAACTCGCGCGATAGCTTCGAACCGGGTGCCGGAAGAGGATGGACTGCAAGGGTCGTAACCAGGAGCAGGAAAGCGGCCTCCAGAGCACACTGAACTGACTTATCTCTTGCGTATTGGGTGGTCCCGGGTGCCTTCTCTCTCCAAGTTCCGACGAAGACAGCCGCCAATCCCATAATGACCAGGAAAAGCGGCCCACCCATGCACACCTGCGATCATGCAAATGAAGACTTTGCCCACTGACTTGCAAACATGGAAAACTGAAGGAGGCAGAAGCAGACAAAGCAAAGTGCGCAGCATGAGGGCGGACACCTCACATGTCCCACAGCAATTACCCCACACCCATCCCGCCAGCATTGCAACCATCACGGAAAGCTCCTCTGTCCACGAGATGGCCTCGGAACGCTCAACTTCAGAGCAAGCCTCGCGCTTACAGCCGGCGTAAGCTTTCATTCCATTCTATGTTCTATGCTGTACATGGATCCCCAGGTTCTTACACAAGGATTCCTCGCGAGACGCCAACTGCGGTGACCTAACCGCATTGCGTTGGACCCGGCCCCCCGGATGCCGCACGAGCCACGGAAGGCGTTGTCAGACACTTCGGCGGGAAACCTTCTGGCCCCGTGCTCTTAACGAGCTTCCTTGGCCAAGGAATCGTTTGTCCCAGCTAAGTCAAGCCCTTTATTGAGCTTACGATGTTTGTTGGCCATCGCAGCCGAGCTCAAGTTCAGAATGCAAAGAGAAAAACACCTTACCGCAAATTCGGTGTGAGTATCTGTACCGCTTCTTGGCGCTCCTCCATGGACAGGCTGTACATCTCCTGTGGCGATGGACAGCCGCTGCGATTTTGAAGCTTACACACTGTGAAATACTGATAGCCTGCACTGTACTCACTGTACTCGCTACGCCGGCTCGGAATATGGTGCCATCTATGGCTCTCCTCCGGCAGGTTGTAGAGCTGAAGCGCGTGGTAAGATTTGGGTCCTAGGTGGCTCAAAGAATTCCAAGACCGTTGCAGCTTTCTCCGGACAACTCGTCTGTCTGATCCACGCATGAGATGCGAATAAAGGGCCGTCGACAAGGCAGCGCTCAACCGGCAAATGTCGCAGTTACGCGTGTCTGTCTGCGACGGCTTATGAAACTTGATCGCGGATGCGAAGCCCGCACGCTTCAACAGCTGCAGTCATCCGAAAGCGCCAGTCGTCGGTTCTCGCACTCTCTCTGTCGTGCCCATCGTCGGTTAAGTTGTATGATTTTCGGAATTTATTGCAGCCCGGCCTGCATGAGAGAACGGCGTGCCACAAGTCATGATACAGTGGTGATGATAATCGTAACACCGTGACTTGACATGACAAGGTTAGTCCCTCGACACGGGATGCCTGCAGGCACAGAACTTAACAGTTAAGCCATAGGCGCTGTGTTCGAGAATTTTGCTGGTTGTGCTGCCCATGTACATCCAATATCATCCAATGAAACCTCCGCATAACACCAGTTTTCCTTAGCGTGTCTGGATGCAGGCCGAGGATCTAGCATCATCGGCGACCGAGTCACCGCCCATGGCTGCCAAGTGCTGCCAATCGCAGGACAAGTCAGCGGAAAACAAGGCTGTGACAGGTCTACCCTTGAAAGAGGCATCGCGAATCAGTCGCAGCATGCTGCCCGCAGGGCTGTCTGCCTTCTCTTATTCCCCACACGACACCTCTCGAGCTGAGGCTTGAACAGTCGGCCGCACTTGTCACCGCCTGTGCACTTGGCTTCACTCAAGAACTGTCGTAGGAAAACATGACGCACGGCACCTCCTCCGAGCCAGCCGATGGGCTGTCGTGGATGGACGCCATTGCAGGTGCCTCTGCGCCTCGAAACTCGGGAGACGCGCTCGCATGGTCCTGATCTTCTGCCTCAGAAAAACCTCGAAGCGTGAGCGCCCGGCGTGCTCTCGGAGCTTTCCTTGTGTCGACCTATAGCTGCAACGGTCAGAATGGTCGCGCAGCACTGTGAGAGCCATCATTTCCTTCCGTGAGATTCCGGCTCATATTCTGCTTTGCGGTTTGGAAACGGACGCAGCTATTCGCGATTGCCCTCTCATCCGTTTCCCTTACATTGCAAAATTGAATGTCTGTCGTGTTAGCACTAAACTCCGTCTTGCAGGCCAATGTTCTTGTCATGGGCGGGGTTACTTAGAAACACGCCTACACGATTTCGGGATGCACTCCTCAACCCTAACCTCTTTGGAATCAAACCTGAACGCTACGTGTAGGCTAGATTTCCGTTCCATGGCCGAGCGCTTTCACTCTTCTGCATGCCCTAGTTTCAAGTCGTGGTATAGCACTGTTCCAAGCCATGACATCGCTCCTTGCACAACGCATGCGTCCACCGGCAACGAAAGCGAGCTCGAACGTGAATGCTGAGTTCAGTCTGGCATGGCCAAAGACCTGCTCGAATGCTGCAGGTGCGTTGTGCGACGGCACATTTGAGGGGCCGGCAAGCTTCTCTGACGAGCACGCGCGATGCCAAGCCCTACGACCTTAGGCTGCGGGCATTGTTACTTGCTAATCACAGATCCCACGCGTTCAAAATTCACTCCTGAGCTGAGTCTGCTGAGTCCCGATCGAGGCGGCGTGCAGGGAGCGGGGCCCACGTCCAGCTCCGCCATGAAATGTCTGGAATGTCAGGTGTCCGCAAAGCAGTTCTGGTGCTCTACTCGTACAGTGATCAGCAGATGTACAGACATGCTGTGCGCCTGCAGTCGGCGAAGCCTTCCCCGCGAGGCTTTATCTGCCACTGCTTCGGGCCCCCATCTCCGACGGCAGAGAGAAGTCGCTCGATGAGTCTAGAGACACATGTTTTCGGACGGACTCTTTCGTGCTGATACTGACGATATGCACTGCTACAATTATTTTGAAGTCATTGCGGTCATCGCTCATGAGGGCAGCCTCTGCCTAGGACACGAGCGCGTTCACCACTTTGCTGTATCATCGATCGATGCGCTCAGCTGCAGAGTCGAATTTGAGCTGACGATATGTCTGCCGCAGCTGTGCCACAGGGTGTCGCAGCTGTGCCACAGGGTGTCGCAGCGTCGGGAGTTCTGCCAATATTGAAACCGCACACCTGTCGATCGAGTACCAGGGTCGTTGTAGCACTCGACGCGCAGGCAAAGGAGATGTCGGCCAAGGCAGCCAAGCAATACGGCGGCTGCGTCTATCCACGGTTGAAGGGGGGGGACTTGCTCTCGCTGCAACCGCCTCCGATTTCAGTGTAAGGGCGCTGCTGCGGCAGAGTTGTGCTCGCTCGATGCGGCTCAGATGTCTGCAGACAAGGCATAGCCACTGATCCACTGATCGCGAAGCGTCTCCAGCAACCAAGCATCCACTTCCCCCCACCTCAGATTTTCTCGGCCAAACCATCCCGTCACGATCGAAACCTGCGATGGACATGAGTTTGTGTGCAACTGGGTACTGGGTTTGGTGCTGTGAAACTTCCCAGCCCAGCCTCGGAGATGAGGGGAGCCCCACCATTGGGAAATATGTCGATGCGCAGGAAGTCAGCCCCCAAAGCCTGCTGCACAGGACTAACAGCCCCTTCGTAGCTGATGTCGCGAGTTCTGACCCTTGGTTTCTGATTCTTTACATAGAGTCTTCCTGTCGCCTCACTTTGTTGAAGCACTCCCTCCGATGACAAGCTTCAGCCAAAGATCGCATGACATCTGACAAGTCAAAGGCTGTCTGGAGAGTTCCTGTGGACAGAACCGGCCAAAGCTGCACAGGACTTGGACCACAGAAATGAGGGAGGTATGGGAGGTTGAGATGAGTGGAAAACCGTGCTCAGCTGCGGTCAGGTCGAGATGAAGCGAAGCCCAAGCAGGCCTCTTTAAACCAGAGTGCCTTTCGATGAAAGTATCGAGCCAAAGCCAGCATGAAACGGGGGATCCCTGCCTGCAGTCGCACGAAAGTTTGTTCATTGTCAGCAGTCTGATAAGCCAACGAATCCGCATTTGCATTCTGAATTTAGCAGCCGCAGATGTGACTTCCGAGATCTTCGAGACGAAGACAATGGCGGTCTTCTGGACTAGATTCTAGATTTGTCAATAGCCCATGTGCATATTTCAGGCCTGCGCGGCTCTTTCTGCCAGGCTGACCACAGCTGAACGTAGCTCGTGTCCCCAGGGCAAGCCCGTGCGGAATGCACCCCCTGCCTGCAGCACAGTCAGATACTTACAACTTACAAAGATATCTAATGCGACCTGTGGCTTGACACAGGTGTTAGTGACAGCTACACGGTTCGTTCTGGTGAATATCGTCGCGGCTCGGCGAGTGCGTGCAGAACATGACAAAAACAAGCCACAATCGTGAACGCTTGTCGCTGTGGTAAGACACTAGCACACTAGCATTGCCGGAACCTCGATGTGCTTCTGGGCTTTCATTGGCCGCGCGAAAATGGGCGTACCATCACCTGGGCATCGCCCCGCCCTGGCAACAGCTTTCCTAATTTCAAGCTCCATGTTGCAGGCAGGCTCGCCTTTTGATTCAGCCATGGCACTAGCGAAATAGCTCAGCCATGTGCCACCCGCTGCCATGACACCAAAGAACGAGAGGCGGCCCCAAGCCACGAAACAAAAAGCCTGGCAAAGCCATGGTGAGACCAAGGAAAGCCGCTGCAAGCTGCATGAAGCCATCTCAGAGCCGCTGCCACAACAACTCCAGTTAAAGGCCTCGTCGGGGAGAAGCCCACTGCGACCATCCCATGTCACGGCAAGCCTGGATGAGCGCGAGATTTCACAGAGTTGATGTCGGCGACGGAAGCAAAAAAGGCTTTGCTTAGAGATAAGCTCCGGACTCTTCTACGAGAAGGCCTTGCTTCACGCTGTCGTCTGCGACGGGCGCATTGGTGACGCAGCGAGTCTCGCCTGAACTCTATGCCAGCCCGGCAGATTTGGAGCGCGATAACACTACTTGCCCCGCTCCCCTATATGTACGTACTGGAATCAAAAAACCCTGCTCCGACAATGCCCGACATTTTCCAGATAACCTCTCTATACCTTCCGGCCGCAGAGCACTCCGCAGAAGTGCTGGTGCATTCATCCCAGCAGCGAGGTGCTGAGGGCTGCTCCTGGTGATAGGACCACAGGTGTGTTTCTTCATATCTTTGGGCATCTGTTGCAATGGCTCCGCTGTGTGCGGGCCGTCTGAGTCTCCGACCTCCTTTTCGAAAGCTTTCGCTGCCCAGCGCACCACCTCGACCTCGTCCATGTGTCGACCCGTGAGCAGGTCCCTGCCATCCGACGGTCCGATGTTGCGCTTGCTGCTGCGTTGACACCCTATTGGCCACCCTATGCCGAGCCTTACAACTCGTAATCAAGGTCTTGTGCTATGCATGGATTACGTGTTAACAAATACTAGCAGTAGTAGTAGTAGTCGTCGTCGTCGTGGTGGTCGTGGTGGTGGTGGTCCTGGTGGTGGTGGTGGTGGTGGTGGTGGTGGTGGTGGTCGTGGTAATGGTAGTAGTCGTCGTCGTCGTCGTCGTCGTGGTGGTGGTGGTGGTGGTGGTGTAGGAGTAGTCGGGTCAGTACGAGTGCAAGCCCGAACCGTAGCAACCGCCACCGCACCTCATGCCCAGCTCGTGATTCTACGTCTGAACCCGAATGAATAAGCCTGTTGCCTTCCTGGAGCATCCGCCCCAACCACGTCCCCAACCGAACGAGATGTCAGTGTTGCAAGAACATTGGCACAGGATCCACCACGGCTTGCGGAGTGAGAGTGAGAGAGGGTGATTCGTGGCGCAGCCCCAAGATCCGGCCTTCCGTGCGACATTAGCAGAACTCCGAGTCCTGGGACGGGAGAGTTCGGTGTAGTACTCAAATTCTGTTGTCTGTTCTGCCTGCCGAGCAAGCACATGTCATGAACTCTTGAACGTCGAACTGCCCGGTCCCAGCAGGAAGCACAGGGCGTCCTCCGTGATGTTTATGTGCGGCCTTGATGGCATACTGCGAGAGTTCTCCTCAGGCGCTGACCACATCTTGAACTGTGATGCTCGGATCTCGCTCTGCAGTTTTCGCCACTCTTCGGACCAGTTGCGGAGCTTCTCCCAAGGAAGATCTGGCGTCGTTGTGGAAAATACTGGCACCAGGGCTGGCAGTTGCCTGAAACGATCTGTCACAAAAGGACGACCATTTCATCTCTTGCCGGCGCGGTTGCATGCAAATGCACCAATTTTGTGCAGGCCGCAGCTCGACCAGGCGTTTCTTCAAAGCAGTCTTGTCCTGACAAACGATGTCAAAGGGTGCATCCCCCGCGCAACTCGCACAGCAGGAAAACTAGCGATACCAATATGTCCCTGCTACGCTAAGGCTGGGGTCGAAATGTCAGGAAACCGACCGAGCAATTATCAAAATTCCCTACGCACCGATGTTCCTGTGCCTGCCAAGCTGTGCCTGAGCTATCCTGGCAGCCCTGGCTCCCCGGTGGATACGGTCCAGAAGCAATGCAAGGCCCTCTTTCGTGGAGAACTTCCGCAGGTCGAAAAGATCCTTGGACTCGCGACTCATGCACGAACCAGCTTCCAAGGCACTCGGAATTCAGCAGCTTTAGGCTCCAGACATAAAACCCAGAGCTGGAAGACACATCCGCGCTCAAGTCGAACTCCGGGGCCAAGCTGATGCTCTGTCGGCCACCACTGAAGACCTGGGCAGATGATGGCAGGTGTACAGCGACAGCCTTTCAGCACAACCTATGCAGGGCCTGTCTCGCTTCGTCGCACCACACTTCCGCATCGCGAGGAGATCGATACTCGACGAGACTGCGAGGTTCCTGCAGCATGGAAGCATGGTTAGAGCGTCTTGCAGCTTTGCACTGTGGTACTTGCTCAAACGACCGGTTCGAATCAGCGAAGGATCGGCAGGCCATGGCAGCTCCCAGACTGTGGCCGGATCCTGCCACAAAGAGTAAAGAGTGCATGAATAGCTTCAGCACTCTGGCCCTTCACCCCGAGGTTCTCTGCAAGAGATGCCTCGAGGAGCACCTGCCCGGTCCGACCTGGCGAGGCAAAAAAGGCAAGGCAGTCGCTACTATGCCAGAGCTTTCACCTCACACTGGCTGAAACATCCTGTCTATAGACTCTTCAATCTGGAGGTGGCTGCCATGCCAGCAAATGGGAATATGGAGCATCTAAACATCTGATCCATATTCGACGCTGCTACGAGAAACTGCAGCCGTGGCATATCGTGGCATGTCCACAGTGGAGACATGCACAGTTCTGACATGCTGACACCTCCACATTGATTGCTCTTGAGCTGAGCCTTGAGATTCAGGGCCTTTTGCAAGGCTCTGAAACTGCAGCCCTGCCACCACAAACTAAGTGGAAGGCGAATTGCTTAGTCTGCTTCGTCTCACAGGAGCTCCAGTGTCCAGTCAAGTCGACTGATGTACGACTGGGTTGCCGGAAACACTGGCCGGAAACGGCGCATGCACAAAACTGTATGTGAAACCTGTGCTCTATATATATATATGGTAGCCCCCCCC